GAGGTATCACGCTCCTCGGCAGAATTAAATTATTTTATAAAAGTGATGTCTCAACCGATATAGCATTATCAGGAGCAAAAGTAATGAGAAGCAACTATAATCCTTCACATTAGAATGAAGAATTGGTTTTGAAAGAATATTTTAATTAATGCTTTATAATTTTGCTTTAACATGTCAAGAGACGAATAATTAAAGGCTTTTAAATAATGGGTAGGAAACAAAATTTTTTGTAATGCTGACGTGTACGTCCTGTATATAAAAGTCCCCTTGTTATTGCCCTTTCTTGTAAATACTATACTCAGGTATTAGAATTAACTTAATTTTCCGCACTGAAAAAAAAAATGCCCTTTAGAACTTCTCAATAACGTTATGACTCTACGAATACAGATCCAGTACCTCCTGAATAATACAAATTTTGGTACTTTTTTGGGGTAGCACAATCATCATATCCTTTGAGCAGGTGTTGCGCCAATGTTATATTAAATTAAAATATCGCAATCATTGTAAGTTAACAAGTACAATGTGATTATTACATTGGCGCTGAATGCGATGTTGTGTGGATCAAAGATGGATGTGATACTCGTAAAAATCGCAAAAATAATGTGCCACATAGATTTGCGAACATAAGAATGTTTTAATTATTTTCGTACAAAGCAAATCTTATTTTTTCTCGCTGTACAATCCCATTCTCACCAAAGAAGTATTTTTGATGCTACAAAATCAGAGGAATGTAAGTAAAAAGGTAGGAAGTCACAGAGTTAAGAAGTCAATAAAGCATGTTTTTTTTTTGTAATGAAAGTAGCGGGCTGGGCAACTATCAGGAATAAAGTAACCATTCCTTTGCTCCTTCCCTTTTTTTAACCTTGCCAAGTCTTTACTTATTTTCTTTAGAAAATTTTCTTTGGTGCCTTAGGGAGAATTGTAGAGGGGAAGATAACCTAAAAGGACTTGGGAAAAGTAAACCAGCTTGAAAAATACGAGCTATTAGGTTATGGATATCTACACCGATGGTAGAGTTTTAGCTATT